TGCCATCCTGTCCAGCAGCCAAGGGCTCCTCTGGGCTCAGCCAGGACTGCTGATTTGCAGTCACATCCTGTCTCGGGTGCAGCCTGGAGCTTCAGGGGTGTGACGCCTTGGGGGTCTTGGCACCAGCCTCTTGGAAACACCCTCTGGAGTCCCGCCTTGGGCAGCACTGCGTGGCCTCGCCGCGTCTCCTGTCCGGGGCCATTTCATTAATACTGTGTTTGCGGAGATTCTGTCTCTCGTCTTTGGAGCCCCCCCTCCCTGTACAGGCGAGCTTCCTTCTTTCTTCCCCCTTTTTTTCTTGCCTATTAAACCGCCTTTTAAAACTGAAAGAAAAAGAAAAAACTGTGTGTGTTCTGATGTGGAAGCGGGGTTGCCCTGGGACCCCTGTGGTGTGTGGGGGGTGTCGATCCCTGGGGCTTCGAGGGTCCCCTCGGGGCTGGGTGTGTCGCCCGGGCCTGATCCCAGCCCTCCTTCTGCCGCAGCTTTCCGGGCCCTCCTGCAGATCCGGGCGGTGCGGAAGAAGCCAGGAGCCCTGTCCCCCGTGTCCTTCAGCCCTGTCCTGGCCCAGAGCCTGGAGCACGATGAGCACTCTGTAAGTGCCGCCTCCTGCCTACGGGATGGGCGGGCGCGAGAGGGGCGTGAGTGCCTGGGCCAGGCCCGAGGCCCAGACGGTCCAGCCAGCAGCCCCGTGTTCTCGTCTGTCCAGTGAGCAGGCTTGGCCCCCATGGGTGACCGTGAGGCATGAAGGGGGTGGCCAGGCTGGGCCCTGGGATGCCGCTGCTGGGAAGAGTGCTGCTGCCGTCAGTACCCAGAGCCTGCGACAGGGCTGAGCGCAGTCGAGGTCTCCAGGTGCTTTTTTTTTTTCTTTTTAAGGCAGGTCCTCGCTCTGTCACCGAGGCTGGTGTGCGCCCAAGGTGGTGCAATCTCAGCTCACTGCAGCCTCGACCTCCCAGCCTCAAGCGATTCTCCCACTTCAGCCTCCCAAGATGCTGTGACCACAGGCGTGCACCACCATGCCCAGCTCATGTTTTGTATTTTTAGTAAGATGGGGTTTCCCCATGTTGCCCAGGCTGGTCTCAAACTCTTGGGCTCAAGTGCTGGTCCTGCTTCAGCCCCAAAGTGCTGGCATTACAGGCCTGAGCCACTGCCGCTAGCCTGTGGTTCTTAGTGAATGAGCCGTGCTCTTTCCCTCATGAGTTGCTGTGCAAGGGGCGCCGGTGACCCTCCTCCCACGCTCCAGGCCCTCTAGGCTCCCTCACCGGGGGCCTTAAGGGCAGACCCTGCTTCAGCCACACAAGGAGGTGGAACCCTGGCTTCAAGGACCCAAGGAGAGAGACAGAGACATGGAGAGACATGCACAGAGAAACACAGGGACGGGGTGAGAGAGAGGCAGAGAGACACAGGGAGAGACAGAGACAAGTATGGAGAGACACAGACAGGGCAAGAGAGATGTGGCGAGACACAGGGAGAGACTGACGGAGAGATAGGAAGAGACAGATGTGGAGAGACACAGGGAGAGACTGACGGAGAGATAGGAAGAGACAGATGTGGAGAGACACAGGGTGAGACAGATGTGGAGAGACACAGAGAGAGACTGACGGAGAGA